AATGCTTTTTCGCTTGAATGAATATTCCTTTGCGGTTAATGAACAGCAAAAGGTGTATTCTATCTTTGTGATGGCTAATTTGCTGTCTACAGGGGCCGAAATAGTCTCCCTCGCATCCGTTTTTAGTGTCGGTCGTCACGCAACGCTCCGTGACGACCGACAATAAAAACGGATGCGAGGGAGACTAGGGCCGAAACAGTAGGGGTGCTAGCAACCGCCGAAGGCGATTGCATGGTAGGGGGACCCGGTGGCATGCTCCCCCGGAAAATTTTACAATCTTAAACTCTCCAGATGCGCTTTCCAGCGTTCTGAGGCAGTATTTTAGCACAAACAATCCTATTCTCTTATCTTTGTGTCTATGCGTGTTGCAGCACGATTTTGATTTTTTTTAATTTTCAATTTTTCTTTGTAAACAATTATTATGCACTTTTTAAGGCTGCAATTTGTGCCATCTTTCAAGCGTTTGTATTTTCCTGTTAGGCTAGCAACGCTTTTCTGTCTTGCGCAGTACGCCGCACGATCTGCTAAAGAACACTCGCCACGTACTTGTCGTGATTCTGTTTCTTAATAGTGAGTCTCATTTGTTTATATCTTTSAGAATCTGATTTGATTTTTTCAAATTTACTATCGCGCGCTTTTGCCTGGACTTTCAACCGTTGTTCTCGAAGATCGGCTGACTGTCTTTCACTGACCAATCTGTTGTGATGGGCTTCATATCGTTTTTGCTCGCGTTCCTTCAGACCATCCTGAAATGAAAAAGAAAATTTAGCAAGCCTTCAATATGTAGCCTCCTACGAAGACGTTTTTTGGGACGTCATGCAATGTTTCTCGACTTTGCTCGATGACGTGACCCTAAGAACGTTGGCGCAGCCCATGAACAGCGCGCGGGAGGTTATTAATCTGGTCAATCTGGGGCGTGTTAGACATCGTGAACCTAAGACACGCGGCACGGTACGAATTTGACGAAATATTTTGGACCACAAACACCACGTCAAATAATTTACTAACTTTCTTTAAGCGTCAATTTGAAATTTTAATTACTCTTATTCTTCGTTTGCACATTACGTTATCGCGGCCATGTTGGTACCATTTATCAAAAGATTTCTCATTAGCATCCATTGTTAACGGTCTCACAATGGCCGCCATGTTTTTGTCTTTTAACTCTCTTGGAAATGCTTGCAACCCATCAATATATCACAATTATCTAATTATTATTTTTATAGTTTTTCTATTACAATTTATAATCTTTCTATCATCATCATTTTTAGGCTAATATACAGTTTTTCTAGGAGGACCCTCTTGTAAACCACTTATCCTATCCTATTTTATCCTGGTATCCTCAATAAAGATTATTTCTTTAAATCTAACCAAACTAACCTCTCTTTGTTGGTTGTATTCTTGAGCGGCTTTTTCGAAGCTTTGCTCCATCTTCTGATGCTGATGTGTTCGATTTTTCATCGCGGCCCTGCGTTCGCCTTCCCGCGTTTCGGCCTGCGATTCCTTATTAGCTTCATTTTCGCGCGCTTTTTGGCTGCTTTGTTTTTGAAACTCGAATTTTGCTGATCTTTTCATGTCTTTTCTCCCTACGTCTTCAGCTATTCGGTTATTACGTTCAAGGGTTTTGTTTCTAAAATATAGGAACGGAAATGAAAAAAATTATTTCCAATGTCATCGCTTTTTTAGCTTCCCTCCCTCCGCAAAAAAATATTAACTTTCAAATTCCAATAATGACAAAGACTAGTGGTTACTAGTTGGGACTGCATTGGTGTCTTACAACAAGTGAGTAAAAAGAAAACTGGAACTGTATTGACATTTTAAAATTCGTCACGCATGGGCCACAGATCTCTAAGTCGCTTAACTATTATCCTTGCAAAACAAGTAAATTTCTTTTCGTGGATACATAATTCTTTCGCTCGTTTATTTTATGTTATGTATCTCCAAACTCAACCAACCCCTAGGTACCTCTGGTTTTCAAGTCTTTCTGATTCTTTCGTTTCTTTCTCGATGACATCTTTCCTTATTCTTTCATTGTACTGCTCAGCAACATGCCTTTTTCTCTCAATCTTTTGTTTTCCTTTCAATACTGCGCCCCTGTCGGCTTCACCAAGACCATCTTCCCAGCACGTTGATCTCTTAACAGTAATATTACCAACATTGTCTGGACTCCAATTTGGATTAGCTCCTGCTACAAACTTACGATCTGCAAAGAAAAATAATATCGATCAGCCAATGTAATGGCCCTTGACGGAGAATTCAGTCTTGGCCGTAAAAAAAAAAGATTTTTTTTAAACAAGATAAAAGCAAAAATAGAATTCACCCATGGTATCAGAGTAAACGTTCATAAGCATTAACGTCTAACGATGTGGTAGTTGGTAGAGTACAAATACTAAAGGTGTGCAATAGTTATCACTATTTATTAGTAAATGAGAGCACATTGCATGCGCGCGCACTTCCTGTTGCTTCATTCCTATCTATTATTGTAATTTGTATTTTATAAAAGAAATAAAAAACTTGCTTGCTGTGCTGTGTGCAGTCATAAAGCACTTGGGGATTGGCAGAACACTCGAGAAGTGTCCAGAAGCACTCCGCTACGCGTCGTGCTTCTCCTAACACTTCTCTCGTGTTCTGCCAACATGCGTACTTTATGACAGCACACAGCACGCGCGCGCATTTTCTATTTCTTCAGTAAAATCTGTGTCTGCGACTGAGCTGCACGCTGAAATTCTCTACCGTCAATCAAACCTAATCAGTCGGTACCTTCCATATTTTTGACTGGCGGCAACGAAAAAACAAATTTCAGCGTGCAACTCAGAGACGCAGAGTTCTCATGTTTATGAAAATTGTAGTAAATAAACAAAAAAAGTACGAGAATAATTATATTCTGGTTCTGCAGCTTACCTGCCGCGGGTGGAAAAGGAACACCAGTTGAAGACTTGTACTCGTGATGCTTTAGACGTGGTTCAGTTTGTTCTCTGCTTGGTTTCTGTTCTTCTAGAGAATGTCCACGGTAAGGATGCCATGATACTGATGAAAACTTTTTATCTGGCAGAGAAATATCACAAATAAATGTTTTCTTCGTTTTGTTACTGAATTGCATCGCGCTTATCTTTTTGTTAGGAAGGGGAACTATTTCTGATTGAATTTGGGGAAGAAATTCTCCTACTTCAACGTATAATGATCAAAAATAATAGAAAATGCCACAGGAAAAGATAATAATCATTATCTCATTAGACAGCGCGCAGCTATTGGGGAAACCATTTTACAGTAATGTCTTCTGTTAAGCTGATTTTTTAAAGCAATAGTTTGGAGGCTTTTACTGTGATCTTCTCTAAGTAAAAGGTCATTTTTTTAAATGCGCTCGATAACTTTGGATATTTCCTAAAAAACCTAAACATCCTAAACAAAGAAACCGGTCTCTTTACTACACATCCATAAATTAACTAAAAAAGCCTTCCATACTTGTCCAGTTTATTTGATTCCAACAATACAGGCTACAAATTTGTCGGAAGCCTCTCACTCATTCGTAATCCACTCTACATCCTACCTGTACCACTTGGAAACGCTACACCATCGACTGTTTGGTATTCCTGATGGCTCGGTCTTGGTACCTTGTCATCCTTTGCTTCAGCCGGTTTGGATAACATCGTGTCGCGAAACCTGGGAGGCCTTGGGGCGACTCCCGAGCTCCATGTTCGCCAGCGCTTCTTTTTCTCTGGCTTTCCACCAGCTTTAGCCACTGGTACACCTACTTGTACGGTACGACCAACGTACTTGTTAAAATCTGTTGGCATATGATGTTTTGAAATCAATGACGTAAAGCTCAGATGAAATGTGGGCAGAGAAAGCGATTTATCAGTTTAAACCTAGTTCTCTAAGCGACGCAAGCATAAGCATAAGCGCAAGCCGCCAATGCAAGAAAAACAAAATCTTTCGTTCTCTTGCGCTCTCGTCTCTTCTTTTCATTGTGAGAACATGCACTATCTTAGATGTGAGATTGCTTGCGTCGGCTTGTTTCACTTGTAAATGAACCAGGCTTAAGGGATACGTTTTCGCAGATTTTGAAGCCGTTACCACTGTTCATATTGCTAGGATTGAGATACGACGGGGCAATCGGGCAGTATTTGCCCATAACAACTAATTTTTTAACAAAAAAAAAAATAGGGCGTTCGTAAGATTAAAGCATTTTAAAAACAAACCTCTTTCTTCTGTACCAATGCCAACATCAGTTTTCTCTACTTTTTCTTTAAAGGGAATTGTTTCGCGGTCTGCATACGATCGATAATACCTGTCCTCGATCTCAACTTCTCCACTGTCTTCAAATTGAACACTTTTTCCTGACATACCCATCCGATCTAAAACTCCACTCTCATTGGCTCGCTCAGTTTTTCTCTTCATGCGCATGTCACCTAATAAATGGCTATTCCTCTGGAGCTGATATTCAATCTTTGCTTTGAGTAACGCATCACTGTCTTCTAGGACGGGTTTTTTACTTGCTTTTGGCGGTGAAAATCGTCGTTCCCAAGTAGTTTCAGGAGGAGGTGAAATACCATTGTAATCTGGTGTCGTGGTTTTTGAAGCTAGTCGTATTTGCCTCCTTTGACTTTCTGGTAGCTGGAGTTCTGTGACTAAKCTGTTGAATACCTTTAGTGGTATGCGTACAGAAACACCAGGGGCCACCTCCTTCGTCTCGCCGTTGAAAAACGCCACTAAAAGGTTACCACCATCAATTTGCTCAAAGCCTGGAAAACAACACTTGATTAAAATCTTATACAGGTTTTTTTTAAAAGACATATTTTTAAAAGACATATTTTTGACCAATGTGCAAAAGATCAAAGTGCATTGCATATTTTTGGTTTCGACTCAGACACCAGCGAACCAATCACCATCGTAGCAGTTTTCCCAGTGGAAATAAAACCTTGTCCCATAGTCAAATAGGACGTTTGCATGATGGCGTCATTTGACTCCCACTTCCATAATGCTTCGCGAATTTTCTTTCTTATTCAAACTTGTATTTCCCTATGAGAATAGTAAGACAATTGGTGCTAATTAACTGAATAAAAGAAAGTGTGCAAGGGAGTCTGGTAGTAGAGGTCAGTGACGCCATCATGCAAACGTCCTATTTGAAAACAAAAGCAGTATCTGTTTTAAGAGTACTACAAGCATTACGAGGTGTTTTTTTTTTTCTTTCTTTCTTTTCACGAGACTGTGAACCTTTAATTAATTTTCCGAGACCAGGGCCCGGTTGTACGAAGTCTGGATAGCGCTATCCGGCGGATAAATCCTTATCCAGTGGATAAGTCGATGCTGTTATCCAATGAATTTATCCACTGGATAAGATTTATCCGTCGGATAGCGCTATCCAGACTTCGTACAACCGGGCCCAGAGCTTTAAATTCTGAGATATATTTGAATAGATTGTTCAGCTTGTGGGACCTAGCAATGGTAACTAACGGGGAGTCAGAAATAAAAATTATGGGGATCATAGGTTAGCATGCCTTTGTTGACTCTCTTTCTAAATATCTGGGAATTGAATGAACATCATACTTCATACATCATCTACAACAGTTTCAGGTCCATAATGACCATCTAGTTGCTTAATGGTCATTATGTGCAGATTGGAATGCATTCCAAACTGGAATAATGAGGGAGTTACGTTGAGAGCCTTTGTAAATGCCTTCAATTTACCTGGTGGTGAGGGCTGGTCCTCTCTTCTGTCAACACCATCGAGAACAGTCCCAGGTCCATAGCGACCATCTGGTTGCCATGGAGCTAGTACTTTATCTCCAATACATACAGGCTGTCTTATTGCATCTTTTATGGCAATGCAGTCAAATAATGGTGTCTCTTGGACAAATGGTTGCTTAAGAGCTGGACACTTGTGGAAATCCAGGATAAAATTCTCATTGGTAGCCTGATGATATTCAATGATCAATGAGAAAATGTGGTTAATTGAATGAAGTGAGTGAGTATTTCAAGGGAGTGCCAAGGGCGGATCCAGGGGGGCAGAATGGGGCTGAAGCCCCCCTTTAGCAGAAAAAAACAAAAAAACAAAACTGAAGTATTAGATACTTTTTTTATTGTTTTCCATTGTGTTGACAGAAGAAACTCAATTAGCCCCCCCCCCCCCCCCCNCCCCCCCCCCCCCCAAAATTTTGGATGGATCCGCCCTTGAGTGCATTGGTAGATATACAGGAAATGAGGTTTTAATGGTTTAAGAGTTTAGATTTTGTATCTATTTCAGTTTCTGGCCAGAGAATGAGATAAACCTTAGAATAAACTGAGGGGGATTGGGCATTGCTCCTAGAGACTTTCGCAAAGGTCTACTGGGAGAAAGATTTCTTAGGAGTTAAGCAAGGTATCAGAAATGGGTGGGGGGGAGGGATTTGGACAATGGACCATTTCCCAACCAATATACATGCGTGTGTAGCATCTTTAGAGTTTACCCTTAATAACAACAGATCACAGTAAAAACTAGGGGGGGGGGTGAGGTGCAGTCTCCCCTCACACTATACCACTAATATGTGTGTGACATCACTAGCACTGGGTTAGGCTTCACGAATTTGCAACGTCCCCTGTGATTGGTTAGGTTTAGGGGCGGGGTTGGGGAAAGGTCATTGTTTTCTATTGTTCTACATGTGTGCCCTCCAATAGGATCACATCTTGCAAGTTAGTGAAGGACGACCCCTGGCACTGCATACAGCATACCTGTTCCTTGACAGTGGCCAAGTAGAACAAACCATCAGCTTCTCTCCTTGCTAAAAATGTAGTCCCCTTTATGATAGATGCAGCTACTGGTACTGAGCTAACCGCCCTTGAAACAAACTGTGAAAGTCCTCTCGAAGCTAAAACAGAGTCGGCATAATCTAATATCTTGGAATACCCCCTAGGTTTATCAAACCGATAGTGAGTGTTCTGTACATATGGGATAGGGACTGGACCATGTGGTGCGTGTAAAATCCTTACACTGTTTAGAGGATCATAACTAGAAGAGACCAATCCTGTACTAGGGGAAGCAGAGGAAGGCCTTTCGTGTATGTGGTCTAAAAAACTCCCCTCATAATTTCTACTATACTGAGTTTTTTCATTGTAAACTGGAGTGACTTTCTTTATAGCTCCAGTGAGTGTCAAGCTTATAATATGTAAAGATCCTTTCGTTTCTCGTGCAAGGCTTTCAAGGAACTCCATTGCTGCAGGATCAGAATGCATTCCCGTTATGTACGTCGCATGTACAGGTCTTCCTTTGTGTACTCTATGGATATTTTCTAGTATTACAGAAGTTCTTTGATCAGGTAAGCCGTCAGTAACTAGATAAATGGCATCAAGGCCATCATCTTCGTAAGCTTGTAGCAATGCTTCCATCGTATTGGTGCTTGTACCACATTTTAACCCATGGATCCATTGACTCGCAGAGCTCACTGTCCTTGGCGTACACCGAACTAAACGATCAGCCCATTTGCTAACATTTTCATCAAAACTTATAACATTAAACATGGTATCTCTCCCTGAGGTTGATCGCGATATCAGAGTCTCTAGTAAATGTTCTTTAACAACATCTAAGCTATGATACATAGAGCCTGATGTATCAATCAGAAAAGCGATGTTTTTCTCACAGACATTCCCGAAAATCGTAGGCCGACCTTTGGCAGGCGAGATCGTAGACGAACTCACCATTTTTTCAGCAGTATTTCTCTGTATTTGAGTTTTAAAAGGACTAGAATTCTTTAGTGCTGCTTCGGTAGACTCGGTAAAGATGTGCGATCAGATTTATCAATACAAGTTTTGGTTACTTGGTTACAAGATCAAACTATCCGCTATAACGAAGGAGCGTGGGCTCAATATAAATCTAAAAAAACTCATAAAGCTTTATCTCCAAAAAAAAGCTTTTTGTATGCATTTTACTTAAAAAACAGGTACTTCAATTCCTAAATTCGTATAATGTTTTACTCTTTCTGTCCTGAATAATTTCAAAACATTAATCTGAAATATTTGTCGTGTAACATCGTTTGGGATACCTATGRTTTATTTGTTACCCATAGCAATGATGACAAAAACAGACAAATGATTTAACCAGGGGAGAGAGAGTAAAGCCAAAATATACTTATATTTTTCAATCCCAAAGCGATAAAAAAATTAGCTTGTTTCTTAATCAATATATAAAAATATTAAAAGCTTCAATAATCATTTAAAATATTTGGAATATTTAGATTTTTTTTGTAGCTTTTTAAGGAACTAATTTCCCAATATAAGCCCTCCCCACGCATTAGAAATATTTGGCGCGTAGTTTTGGCGGGATTACGTTGCTTTCTTTAGCGTTGTTTGTTCTTTTCCTTCAGCTCAAAATATTCCCTATTTTCTCTCTACTATCGAAATATTTGCTGCATTAAAAGGGTTCCTGCTTAAAAAGGATGGCTTTGGAGGTTTGTATTGCTTTTTTTGACTGTTATTTTCTACATTCCTTAACATCAGACCACATCAAGCGTGGCTTAATTTTCTTGAATTGCAAACAAATGGCTTTTGCTTTCATTATTTGAGTATTTTTAATGCATTTAAAACTTCTTAAACGTTCTAACACTTCAATACTAACACTAAGGCGTTATTTGAAAAGCTATTCATGGGCTCATGAGATCAAAGTTTTGAGAACTTTGATTATTTATTCTTATCAAGCTGATCAAGAAAGCCCGATTTCTGTTGTGTTTGTAATTTCAGGAAGATTGGGCCTATTGCACTATGTGTCGCTCAGCCAGACAAGGTGTTTCTACACTACATCGAGCATCTTTAAGAAAGGTTGAGTGGCCTGATCAGCCCATGCAATCGCTTCAAGTCTCAGAGGTAAAAGTTAATATATTTACCCAATTATACATACAAGAAACAGCTGATCAGTGATGGAAGATGAGGCTTCTCTACCCACACTCTCAAAAGCCCGCAATAGAAATGAAGTATTGTGCTTACCTCCCAGCCATACTCATTAATAAGGAATTTGACTATAAATTTAATTTGAATTTGGAAGTCTGATGCTCCAATAAATACTTATGTTATATTTGTTTGTCAATTCCCAGGCTCCACATCAAAGTGAGTAAAGTTTGTTAGGTCTCTCCCTTAATTCTATATTTTTTTCTCCAGGTTCTCTAGTTTCCCTCCTTTCACAAAATTTTACATGCTAAATTTTATGCTCTGACATTTATCAGTCCAGAGGATTTTTTATTTATTTAACGGCTTAACACAGGATGAGGACAGGCACAAAGTCCAAACAAGCTTGGCCTGAGACAAGATACAAGCAAACACATTACAATATTAAATACAGAGAAAAAGTATTATAACAAGGGCCRGAGAAAAATAAAATATAGAACTAATTCTGGAAGTAAATAAATGCATGCATACGCCATAAATATAACGATGGAGATATAGGTTGTTTCAAGGTATCAATATAATTAGAAGATGCAAAAGAATTTTTTTATTTCTGCAGGAGCCTACAATCTACACTAGTATCAATGATGCTTTTGACACTATTCTCCAGTATATGAATGTATCAAGCCAACAGTGTAAGGTATGTATCTAGAAATGTTAGGAACTTGATTGTTATCATCAAATGATCAAGACTGAAGGGCCTCACAATTCAATTCTTATAGGCCCTGTTACAAGTTGAAAATTCTAGCTGAAACTTGTGTGCAACAGCATTGCAAAATAAGTCTCAAAGGCAACCCAAACTCGTCATGAACAAGTTTCAGAATGTAATTGTGCCATGTAACATCCCAGTGCTATTGAACACAAATTTCAACTATGAGTTTCGACTTGTAACTGGGCCTTAATTGTTTTATTTTTCTTTCTTGTTTTAGAGGTTCTATAGAAACCAACCTAAAGGAAAATGCAGTAATGAAGACAAAAACCACATAAGACGATTCCACCAACCACATTATCCTATACATTATAAAAGAAATCCAGTAAGTAGCAAACTGAGGGTGAAAATGCAAAATGTAAAAATACTAATCTTTACCTGCTGCAAAGACAACTATTTAAATTGTCAATAGGAGATGGATGGGATGGGTGAAGCRTGACAGCACGTAAGCCATTTGTATGAAAAAAATATGTAATGATAAAAGGGTTTTACACCATGAAAAGATGAAAAAACTGACGTTTGGATGCTAGTCCTTCGTCGGAGTAAAAGAGGAAAAAAATATGAAAAAAATATGAAAAAAAAATGATTAAGATAAAAGATAAAAAATACAACCTTTTAATTTTAAATAAATGTTTTTCCATAACAGATCACATGTCATTCATTAGAGTATCATGTCTATATTTATTTTTTGCACATGAAAAGACACATGAATAAGGATACAACTTAAAGAATCATTTTCTCAAGGGAATGACACATGGTCTGAAATGGAAAAATCAATACATCATAGCTAAAAGTGGTCGTTTGGATATGATTTATTTAGCTTTATAATCTTGAGCTTTTTATTATTTCATAGCTTCAGAAATCAGAGGATGTACATGTTGAAGTTGTTCCTGGTAGTTATGCTGTAACCGCTGGTCGATGGGGTGCAGAACGTCAACACACACATGTTGTCCGTATAGAACCTGGTCAGACAGTGGATCTGGCATTTGCCATATAATGCCAAGCTATTTAGTCATTCATTTATTAAGAGGCTAATAATGATTAGAGCCTGCCTCATATTTCTGATAATACAACAAAAAGTCATGCTTTTTATACATTTTTTAACAAAGTATTTTTTGATTTATTTAAACTTTGTAAAATATCAGCTTTTTTATTTTTTTTCTATGATCTTAGGTACATCAAATATGATTTATAATTATGTAATTTTTTTTTTTGCTTTTTGTAATGTTTATTTTTTTTAATGAATTAAAAATTAATTTTGATTGGATGTTTGTACATTTTTCTTTTGTTCTTTAGAAATAGTTGTTTTTTTACCTTAGGCAGACCCTTGGGTATGCATATAATATTTTCACTGATTTTAGACCACGTGTGTGCAACTGATAAACAAAGAAATCATACTCTAGGGAATAAAACAAAATGGGAAAACATGGAGTGCACGCACTAAACCTGTGAAACATATTTAGTACTAATTAGTAGTAATTCATACAGAATCCTTTGTTTCCTATTGTTTGATTATCACTATTTAGTACTAAAAATTAGTATTTGTTTCACGGGTTTAGTGTGAGCACTCTACGACGAAGCCAAAGGTAAATAGGTTTATGGAAATGGACTCCCTGTGTTTTTTCACCTTTTTATTTGGGTTTCCTGTGGCTTTTGTATTTTGGGCGCGAAGCTAGTCAATAAGGGAACTAGTTGTCAAAGTTAAAGAGAATTTTCTTCTTAAATTTAAGTGAAATATTCACTTATACAACACCAAACGGTGCAGGTATGTTTATTTATATGCTTATATTTCTTAGAACTGCTGAACTCGGTATTCATTGTTTTTTTTCTATCAAAAATTGATCGAAAACTTTGGCTCAAAAAGTTTGCTCTGCGTAGTGAAAAAGCATTTTAAACCAAATTTAAGATAGGTAAGCCTAACCTGTAATGTATTTTTTGGTTTCTCCAAGCCTTACAAGTTAAACTGGGTCGTTACAGATGGATGAAATGGTGAAAAAGGAGTTTGAAATTTTTCTTTCATCAAAGTTACCACAACAAACTCTAGAGTAAGTTGGTCTTGATACAGTTTTTAAGATTTTATATATTAATGTTTCTTTATACTTACTAAACTTTATGCTTAGTTAGGACTATACTACTACTATATCTATGCATTTACGAAATATTAGATTAAAAACTGTTAATAACGCTGGGGGTGGGGGCGGGGGAAAGGTATTTATATTTAGCAATTATTCGCCGAAGTGAATATCGGGGAATATTTACCCAGACGCGAGTCTTCGAGCGGCGAGGTAAATATTCTCCATGTTTGCTGAGCCTGAGGCGAATAATTGTTTTAGCATATACCAACTTGAGTACAGAGTAACTTATTTTTATGTACAATAATTCAATAAAAACAAACAAACAGAAACTTTTAGTTTGCGTGACAAATTCACGCAAAACGTTTTGCAAAACCTTCAGCAAAACTTTTAGGCCATACTTCGTTGCCTTTTTAGTATTGATAGGAATAACATTTACTTTCAATTTTTTCAATTTCCTCACCGGAAATTGTAGCAAAACAATTGCCGGCAGATGCCATTTTGTTGCCGACTCAATATTCCGAGATTCAGTGGTGAATATTGTACAATATTCGCCTCCAATTAACCAATGAGCGCGCGTGTTCTTAGGAAGTACACAAGTTGGTATATGCTAAATATACATATATGCCTGGTTTATTTATGTTGACAACGTACATTGACTGGCCAAACCTATGAAACTTTATAGCACAATGTACAAAAGTGTAACCACATTTAATCTATTTGCGTACTTCATTTACTTTTAAACATACATATATATGCTAATTGAAGTGGAATTTTTTAAAGTGTCCTGGATGAAATAGTTCTTCAGTACCTCACAAGCGTTCTGGAGATGTTGGACCAAGATGATAGTTTTAATGTAGAAGAATTTATACTCATGATGGATGCCTACATACCTGGCTTTTGTAACATACCAAGGTATTTTGATTTATCATACATTAACCTTAGCCCTGGTGCAAATCGGAGACTGGATCCTGAATTCTTGGGCTTCAACCACATGACTCAAAATCCCTTAACGATGTAATAGCCTCCATGTTGGTTGATCAAGAAAGTTTGAAGGTTATAAGGAATGGACTGCTTTGTTATCATCAAGCAAATCACAGCTATGACATAATGTACCTCATGAATAAGACACAGAATCTTGCTTAGGATATCCTACTCAGCAATACAATCCTGAATAAGATTCTATATGCAGTAGTAACAGGATCCTGAGTAGAATCCTGAAGTAAAATGTAAAATACTCAGTAGGAACAGAATCCTAATAAGTTTTTTTTTTCAGTGAATGTGTTTTCTCATGGATGATTGGGCTTTCCGACAATTTAAGGATAGCAAGAGAAAATGTTCAAGGTATATCACTATATTTGTACATGTGTAATAGGTAAATTACGAGCCTTGTATGAAACTATTGAAGAAGAGGGCCAATGGGCCTTTCACAACTACAAGTCGCGTAAAAAATGAGGCAGCTAGAAACCGTGGATATAGCTGTTTCGGCCTGTATTGGGCCTTGTCAGCATAGTGTATCTAGTGAGCTGGTTATTTCTGTTAAATAATTCTTTTGTTCATGTCATGCAACGTGGCTGCCAGCATGTGATCACACAAAACATATTTTACTGAAACAGCAAAGCATACAATCATGCAGTAGTACTGTATGTACGTAAAATTAAAGAACAACTATTATGCATTTTTTTTTCCTGATTTTTAGAACATATGATATATGAGAGTACGCAGAGTGCATAAACACTTCTAATGTACATCGTTTGCTAGGCATAATGCTTCCCCTAACATGACTTCTCAGGTCCAAGAATTTGTTAGGAGGCTGTCCCAAATGAAGAAATGTACTATAATAATATAGAGATACTGTATTATGTATCATAAATGTTTCTTCTACTTCAAAAAAGCTACATTTCTGCATTAGGGGACGGGGGTGCACAGCAGGGCATTCCCTGGAAACCCCCCTCCCCCTCCCCCATGTGCTTCGTAAATGCACAAAGCATTATAGGCGCACCTTTTCTGGTAAGCAGAAGTGGTGTAGTGATGAGAGTGCTCAGCTCTCACCAATGCAACCTGGGTTGGATTCCTGGACTCAGTGTCACATGTGAGTATAGTTCCTAGCTGGTTCTCTCATGTGCTTCAAGGGTGTTTCTCCAGGTTCTTTCCTTTTCCTCCCTCTGCAAAATAATCAACTTCTAAATTCAATCCAATCCAATAGACCTCTTCGGCTTGGAGTAATGTTTTCCCATTTCAGACCATGTGTCATAACCTTGAGAACAAGATTCTTTGTTTGAGCTGTATCCATATTCATGTGTCTTCCCATGTGCAACCGAGCACAAACCTTAAACAAAGAAATGATACTCTAGGGAATGACAYGTGGTCTGWAATGGAAAAGCATTACGTCAGAGGCAAAGAGGTCTATTCATTGAGGTCTACAGGTTTGTAAGCCACTGGCGACCATGAAACAAGGACAATTCTATTTATTCTAGTATATATTGATTTTGATTTTATAGAAAATTTTGAACCTAAAAGTAAAGTCAATGATGAATCATCACCATCACATCATAAAGAAGTTAAGAAGACAAAGGCAGAAGCAAGTAGTTCCAATAATGTTAATATAATTAGAGATGACAGTGAAAGACAAACCACACCATATATTAACCAGGAACAAGATGAAAAGATGAAAGAAGAGTAAGTAGAGTGCTGACTATAAAGGGGTGTAGCAGAGGGGAAGTTGGGTTGGGAAGGACAAAAAGGGTGCAAGATAAAGGGTAAGGTTCATGCAATTTCTTCTGATATGAAACATATATCCCACTATACCTCCGGTAAAGAACCCTGAAACAACCTCTAGACAGATCTAAGTCAGGGCATGGCTAACTCAAAGATACTTTAGAACCCTGAAACAACCTCTAGGCTAATTTAAGGAACAGCTGGCTCACAGATCAAACCCTGAAACAACCCTCTAGGCTAATCTAATTTAAGGAACAGCTGCCTCACAGATCAAACCCTGATACAACCTTCTAGGCTAATCTAATTTAAGGAACAGCTGCCTCACAGATCAAACCCTGAAACAACCCTCTAGGCTAATCTAATTTAAGGAACAGCTGCCTCACANAATTTAAGGAACAGCTGCCTCACAGATCAAACCCTGAAACAACCCTCTAGGCTAATCTAATTTAAGGAACAGCTGCCTCACAGATCAAACCCTGATACAACCCTCTAGGCTAATCTAATTTAGGGAACAGCTGACTCACAGATTGAACCCTGAAACAACTTCTGCACTGATCAAAGTCAGGGTGAATTAGAATTTAGCATGTAAGGTCTTGCAGAGGGAGGTAAACTGAGAGAATTCAGAAACCCTAGATTCAACGAACTATACTAGTCTTACATATGATAGAGAGTCTAGGAATTGAATCCAAGATCCCAGATTTGAGAGGCAAGTGTCCTATCACATGTGAACACCACCCTTGATTTCCACCCTCTAATGATCCTTTACCTGACATCTTTTGGATATTTCCTCTGAAGCCTCATATTTTGTAGCAATTCCAGGTTCAATTCCACAGTCCAGATTCTGTGTGAGCTGTTCCCCTCAGCAATGTTTTTAGAAGTGAGGAGGTGTTTGACTGTTGCTAATGGTGACGCTGATGAAGCTGCAAGGCTGATGTTGATTAGCAGAGATAGTTCGGAGTCTCCTGATGATGATCATCATTTGTTCGCAGATTCAAATCCGAAAGTAAGTCAATAGACTTTATTCGTTAAAATGCAATATTTTCCCATTTCTGGCCACGTGTCCCATTTCCTCTAGTGTTTTGTATTTTTTTAATGAATTTATTGCTATGAATGAAAAGTTTTCCCATTTCCAACCACTCTAGGATAGGTTGCTTTGGTAATTCATCCATATAAATATGTCCTTACATGTGTAACTGGTAGACAAAGTAAGGATGCTCAAGGGAATGCCATGCGATCTGATCTATAGGGAATACGAGAATATGGTCCATCCCTGAATTCCATCATTTAATAATTTATTTAGTATAACAGTGTATACAGTAACAACCCAAACATAGTAAAAAAACTGAGGAGAAAGTGCCGCTTCTGTAATAGACCCTTTTCGAGTTCCAAATTACTGCTGTGTTTCTTGATTACAGACTCATTTACTCAGGCTTAGCCTCAACTTTGTGAAGAATATTCACTTGTTCCGGTCAAGGTCCCTCAAGTTTCAAAGTGCTTGTATTGTTGAAGTTATGCATTCTTTACTTTACCGTTGGTATTTGTGAATATTTAGAAACTGATTTGAGGCTAAGCCTGAGTAAATGAGTCTGTAATCAAGAAACACAGTGGTAATTTGGAACTCTAAACTGGACTATTAGTACCTCTACAAATGGTTCTTTCAAGTGGCTTTAAATGGTGGTCTTAATTTTCCACTTCTCATCATTTCTAACCAACATCAGAGGGATGTAAAAGGACCACTGAGGACGTAAAGAAACCCTAGCAGTAATCCCTCCTGTTGTCCACCCCTCATGATTGTAAAGCAGCTAATTTTTTGGCATATACAGACAGAAAAGGTGCTACATAAAGTATAATGGTTTCAGCTTCTTTTATTAATTCCTAGCCGCATCAAGCAAGTGCAAAACGATTAAATCTCTGTGAAAGTGAACAAGAGGAAATCAAAAGTAAACTTATATCCAGGTAAAGCAAATCTTGTATGGAAGTGTTATGCTAAAGGATGTTGCGTTGCACGTTTCTTCAAATATTGGGTCCTTCAAGCAGAATTTTCACTTGCGAACGAATTGGAGCAAGAAGCAAAAAACAGAAAACAGAGTGCACCAGAATCGGAGCAGAACGTTTGCTTTTACATGGTTGCTGCTTACGTTTAGTGATGGATAATTGAGGGGGGGGAGGTTGCAGGAATTTATGTTCATGATATTTATTTTATGTAACAACCACTGCACGCAAGATATTTGCTTGATATTTCTTTACTGAAATGAGAGGCTGCGCAATATTTTTTCATAGCTTGATTTGGTTTTGGGGGATTTATGCAACCCTCTCCCCCCCCCCAACCCCAACCTCAATTATCTAATGGTCTGTCCCTTATCTTGACAGATATAGCTTCGTAGAAGTCACAGATGATCAACGAGTTCATCGACCAATTCTTCCAAAAAAGGTAAGTAGTGACTATGATGTTCCTCAACATGAGATTATGGATAATAAAATGTCTGCCCCTTTATCATCCAAGATAAGATCTGTTGCTTTACCAGCAGAGATAGAAAATACTGCAGTTAGCCAGTCCCACACTATTGGAAATATAGCCAATCAGAAAGCAGGCAAGCATTTGTATATTCAGCGGTATTCCTCTGTTCCTTCCCATCAAGCATTGCAGCCCTGGTGTATTCTCAATAGGACGTTTGCATGATGGCGTCATTTGACTCCCACTACAAAGATGCTTTGCGAATTTTCTTTCTTATTTAAATTTGTATTCCCTTATGAGAATAGTAAGACAATTGGTGCTGATTAACTGAACAAAAGAAAGTGTGCAAGGGAGTCTGGTAGTAGAGGTCAATGACGCCATCGTGCAAACGTCCTATTGTGTGGGATATAAAATAGTTACACAGACTTTGCGTTGTGATGAAATTTCATGGACCATCCCACTTATCACTTGTATGTTTCCACCCTTTTCTTCCCATGAAGCAATTCGGCCTAGGTGTATTTTTGATGGGTGTGATAAAATAGTTACACAATGGTTTTGAGTGACATACCAAAGAATATCCCACTTCTCACTTTTATTTCTTCGTGGAATAAAAGTGCCTCGTGGGATATCCCAAACCCTAATGCCCTGGCTAAACGAGGAAACATGTTTACCGTGCGCATGTTTCCTCGATGTTTCCCAGTTTAGCCACATGCGAAACATTGCTGCGTGCAACAAATTTTGCTTCCAAGACGCAAAAATGTTTTTGCTGTTTAGCAAAATCATTTCATGTTTCCAAGACGCATGGATACATTGTTTCCCGATGTTTCCTGACAGTTTTGCTACCTTAATTAGGAAACATTTAAGGTAACATGTTTCTGGAAACATGTTTCCTCGTTTATCCAGGGCCTAAGAAATGTTTTTAAATGTTTTTAGGAAGAAAAAAAGCTGGTTCGATACCGCGATAATCAAGTGGTGAGCACCAAAGGAGAGAGGTTTATGTTAGAGAAAAAAAGGGAAACAGAGGAGGAAAAGAAAACTTACGTTAATTTAAAACCTGCTCGAAAGTATAGGTTTCACTGATGTGTTATTCTTTCTTCCCTTCCTTCTTCCTTGCTTCCTTCCTTCCTTGCTTCCTCCCTTCCTTCTTCCTTCCTTGCTTCCTTCCTT